TAGACGGTACCTGTGTAAACGACCAGATGGTCGATAACCAGGCCATTCTAACAGTAGACGGTACCTGTGTAAACGACCAGATGGTCGATAACCAGCCGGGCCATGCTAATCATCAGTCACTACATAATAGATTCTGGTTGGTTGGATCTATATATAGTGACCATCAAAGGTTACAGAAGGTTGGTAACCATTATCAAGGAATACCACTCCAGTCGTTATTAACAAGCCACAAAGGGTCAAATACAAACTCGATTTCAGCACAAACGCTTGTGGGTATGTTTTTCATCTTTCAATCTAAATAAAGCAAAACGTGTACAAGGAGTTAAATCTGTCAACYCTCTATTTGTGAAGTGCAGTATAAAAGAAAATGCTTGACCAGGAAGGCTTGACCATGAAGGCTTGACCATGATGCTTTGTCCAGGAAGTTCGTTGGAAGACTTATCACAAATGCTTGGCAGATGTCATGTCAATAAACGGACGTTTTATAGGTATGGTCAGCACGAAACACGAGATGCACTCTCAATACAGAGCTCTTCCGTGTAGGTTCCCTCCACACGCACTACCCTACACTACATTCTACATTTACAACATACAACACTCAACTCCAATTCACAGAGGAAGGCCCAGACCGGAGAACCCGGCGAAAACCCTCGTAGCAAGGAGAGAACACACATCAATCCAACTCAACTACTCTCATACGATCGAGAGGCGAGTGGTAAACCACTACACCACTCAGAATGAGCGCACACTCATGAAGACTGGTTGATCTCTACTCGATGATATATTATTGGTTCAGATTAAAAGCGCCCTTTTTGAGGCGGGTAGCGCCATCCTCCATCATGTAACTAACTTCACATAAGATGGTTCCTCCGACCACAACAGTAATCGCCCTCACAAGCACCGCGCACCAACACTCGAGCTATCCCAGTGGAAGCCGGTAGACACTGTATTGTTTCTTCATGCAGGCGAGTTGATACAGTTTCCTTTACCAGTACGTACATGAGTATTTGGCACGGTTTTTTTCTTGGCATGACCTGCTGGGCTTGCTAGCGTTTTCTTCGTCTTTGTGGTCTTATATCATCGTATTAGTAATGATGTCATATCCCCATTCCACTCCTCTCACCCACTCTTCCGTAACACCATCCCGGCATGGCATACGCACACTTGGGCTTGTGGGTAAATTGGCTCGTTGTATGCCTGAGGTTTTGTTATCAAGATATTAAATCTTTTCACCTATGACAAATAGCCAATCACTTGTGTTTTCTGATTTCTGTTTAGCAAAATGCAAACTACAGTATTATGACATGCAATAGATACTAACGCTTTAGTGTAACGACACTATTTGGCAGGCCTCGGAATCCATTTTTTTCCCCACAAAATGTACAGCATGTATTCTTATTACCTATACTCATAACTGTCACTTGTGTTCTGTTACCATGCCATGTCCGACAACAGTACTCAGGCAATCATTAGCAAAATTACCGGTTCTTGGTCGCGGTTTTTAAACGATACTATGTCAGTCATGCTTTCGCCTTTATTAAGAACGGATACAACACTATGGAAAGCTAGTTTTTTTACGCATTTCGTTGTTAGATTGGTCGGCTAATGGTGAGCGTGGTGCAATAATATAGTACTCGGTTCCAGCCAGAGAAAAGACAGAATGAACGCGCAAAAAGTAGAAATCGATAATCAGACAATGGAAAAGAAAAGTGTTTTTCTCGTTAATTGGACCATTTCTTCGATCACGCATAAAACAAAAGACTCAAACATTTTCTAGAATCAACAACTCACGCTTTTTACGAATCACAATCTACAGTCAAAATCATCGGTTTTCTTATCAAAAAAGGGGTGGAAAAACATCCAAAAATGTCTTTTTTGCTTTGAGCTTTTTTCAAAGATTCGTTGCTCGATGCTAATTTTCACAAGTCCTTTCAATGCCAAAAGTGTCATTACAGCAAAGCATCTTTAGCACTTGCTCAAAACAATAAACGTCACAAAACATCCAAGCTTATGTCTTCAAAATTTCAAAAATACTGTAAGGCCATCATCATGGTAGTTTTAAGATTAGTGCCTTAGTATTAGTGCCTTGTTTGAAGCGGTAAACTAAGGTGGGCTGGTCTTAACATAATTATCATGTCACTCAAGCGTCGTTTTAATATGGTTAGTCGTCGATGCGAAACATTTAGATGTCACGCTGCCCACTGCAAGCCAGACCAGAAAACACTCTCCTTGGGTCGGTTGAACCGAGTCTCAGACGCGGGAAAAATCACGCTAATTGTAAGTCTTGTTTTCTTATCGACGTCTGTTGCGTATAGGTATTCGGGAATAAAGCGTTTGGTGGCGTTTCGGACGCGGACTTTGTCTTGCTTGCCATCTGTTTGTCCATTGCCAAATTACCACATCTCGCTAGACGAACATTGAATATTCAAGAAGCGAGGCATGGTGTAGTTCGCTTATATAAATCAATGTCTGTAGCGGAATTAAAGTCCAAACAAATCGTAAGGTCGTGTTTGTCGTATTGGATCATGTTTTACAAGCAGCAGACGATGTCTAGCCGACTGGCTATCATTTTAAACATCGGTAGAACGCGTATGACGTTTGTTGGTGTCTGGCTTTATTGTCAGACACCTTACAGTGCCTAGCACCCGTATAAGACTTTAATGGCTTGATATTGACAGTACTTGCCGTGCCATACTTTAACATATTCACCCCTACAATAAGATATAATCAGCTGACGCGGACACTAAGTTCATGGCATCTTATTTGTGCCGGGAACGTTTCTTTTACGAGAATAATGGGGTAGTCTTTGAATTAATATTATTCACAACAACAGACTGAGGTGTATTATATCAGACACACAGTTGCTCCGTTTCGCACTGGTCATGACAGCATCACTCACCACACAAATTTGCTCCTGTTTTCGTCTACATCGTTACTTAATGAATAAAAAATCCCAGGAGAAGGATTAAATGAACGAAAGAAAAGAAGCTGGGTTGGGGGTTTCAAGTTGGGGTTGAGTGTTACATAGCGTGATGTTGAATATCGATGACAGATGGAAGAAAGTAGATCTAGTTACAACTATTTGCTAGATCACTAGATGGAGTTGGGTTTTCGATGACCCACCACATATAATCCTTATACCGTACATCTAGGTAGAATACACTGAACATGTAAAGATCATTCATTTCCCTTTGTTAACTCGTGGTATTTTCTATTCAGATTGAATTGGTTTGGAACAACCAGCATGACTCCAAGCATGGCTTGTAGAAGGAATTTACTCCAACCAGCGATCATTCTAGTCCTGTTTATCGGTGTCAATGGTAAGTACAGATGTATGATCATCTCAAACATAATAGTATATAATAATACTAGTTTAATGTTAGTCTTGGGTTTACTGTGTGTATTTATATGATCCATTAAGCTGGCTTCAAATAAACCACATCTAAGGACATATGAAACAACATCCATATACAACTGACCTAGTCCGTGTTAGACTCCGTAAAGTCACATTCAATAAGGGCTAACTGAACTTATAACTGTGTTTTAATTTGGACACTATGTTTCGAGTTTTGGGCCCTTCATAAGACAAGATATTTTCTATTTGTCGTGGTGTTCAAGTCGTTTGACTGAGTCAAGCGTGTTTCTAAGAGACGTCAACGGCGTCCGTAAGCATCATGGTAATCACTCCATACTAATCGTTCTTCCCCTCTTTCCATCGCCTTTATTATCCCTAATATGAACCAACGACTTCAATCAATATAACACCATGTTATAGGCGAAAAAAGATGATTTTTGCTCACAATTCTTAATAAATCTAGTGTGGCCTAAAGCTCATTCATGTTGATGTAAAAGTGTTGGCAAGAGATCAAAGGAAGCTTCTGGCGATTCTGACGTGGTTGACCTAATGATTTAAAGATAAATAATTGTAGAGGAAACCCGCGGTGCAACAAAGGAAAATAGCGTTCAAACGACCAAGAAGAAATACTAAAACACTTTCCTACACCACTCTCGTCAAACACTTCAAGAAGACGTGTTTATGTGAACGTTTTACTCGTATTGTTTTTAAATACTTTGTGAGATCAAGCGTCATTACACGAGCAACTTTTAGTAACAACTTGTTTTGAATTATTGTGACGGTAAGAGTAAAGGTTTGAACTGCACTTTTTGAAGAATCACAATATTTATCTCCCAACGCATTTGCTTTCTAGCAAAACAACAATACAATGCCCAATAAGCCGTAAAATGATCGGATTTATTCTTGCACAAAGTAGTAGTTTTATCTGTCATGTGCAAATCATACTGCAGCTTACAATTTGATCTTCTGGTTACTAATTACACTGTTTTTGGGTTGAAGGGTTATCAAAGTTTTATCTGAGAAAAACACATTGAATGAGCAGGGTTTGATAAACCCGCTGATAACCTCACTGATATCGCTCAAAATACCTGTTTATCATCTTTCTATACTTGTACTTTAACCTATTTTGTATTGTCTTGTCATTCCTGGTTATTTGCTCTTTGAATTATGACGCTAAGCAAAGCCCTACTACTGATACTCTAAAATTATCAATCTCATTTGATGTGGAGTAAAGGATGGATTATAGTTGTGATGTGTTCTAATGTTCTATGATTGGTGAAGCAGTTGATATTTCTCAACATTTAAAGTGTTTGTATTCATTTCCGGTCACGATCTTGGAATTTACCTGAAGACGCGCACAACTGCGTAAAAAGTGGGAAAACTACGGAACTCCCAAATGGCTTCCGAAATTGTGCGCATTTTGATCGGTTAGTGTACATTTTTATGGTTTTTGATTGGTCAAGAGGTGGAAGTCATTCGAGTATCACGGTGCGTGAATGTTCCCGAACATTTTCTGTTTCCATCAAAGCAATGATGACTCACTAATATTCTTGAAAAATAGCCTTTGTTTACTTACCATTAGTGAAGCGCAAGGATACCCAACTAATTGATAGGCCTGTGTGACCGGTAATGCATCGGCAAAGAACTTATCCTCTTGATTCCTAAGACGCCAACAAATAATTGTTCGTTAGTGTTTTTAATATTATCATAAAAGCTTGAGTGACAATCTAAATTAGTTGTTTCTTTATTGAATAGTTGAATGATATATTCATTTGCATTATTTCCATTCAGCAATTATAATCATAGTGTAACTTTCTTGTGGCAGCCATGTTTATTCCCATGACATTTTGTTTATGCTAAAGTAAACGGGCTTCCCCCGAATGTAAATTATTGACCCACATTAGAAAGTTTGGCGGCAAATTGATACTGATAATAACGATATATCAGTGATATATAGGCAGTGGATAATGTGGGGACTGAATGGTTGGAGTGCATGGGATGGCCAAATTATTTATAAAAGAGGGGGGAATGGCTGGTGGAGAAGAATGATGATATAATTGAACTATCTGGGTGCTAAAATATTGCTGTTTGTTCTCGATACAGGAGGCCTTTTTGGTGATAGTGAGTCATCAACGTCAAGCCAAGAAGACCCTGCAACCACACAATTCATGCACATGATGAAAAAACAGTTAAGAAAAGATTCCTACACTAGACAAAGTAAAAGAGATCAGCAGCTGCCTGGAGACCTGGCAGCTAAAAATGCAGTCATCAGAAACTTCGTTTTTAGAAAATTTAAAGGTGAAATGCTGTTCATGTTTTCGTTTCTTCCTGAAAAGAAGCAGTGTGACATCCTGGTGTCTCTTTCTGTGTCAACACAATGCAACCTGACAAGTGTCATGCACATTCTTAGTAATGAGAGCATTCTTAGAACCTCCCAACAAGTCAAATGCTTCTCAAGAAGGCCATTACGTTATCCACAATGTCAGACTATAGATACCATGAAGATTTTAGATGGTTTTTGGAATCAAATGGGAAGACTTTTCAATAACATATCCGTAGCTTTCCAGTGTAACATCATCAATATAATCACAACAACATCGTTAAAGTATCGTCAGCAACGGCAACAGTACAACACAAAGATCAAAGCTCCACGTATCACACTTAAAACTGCTGAAAGACAGTTAGAACTTATCTTTCCATATCTGCACATCAAAGAAAAATGTTCCAAAGTTTGGAAACCTTTGAAAAAGATGGTCCCATTCCAATCACCAGCGTCACTCCTAAATTTAACTGTCAAACTTGGTGCTCGAGTTAAGAGAAAAGATTGGCTTAGGAACATCAAGAAAAAAGCTTTTCAAATGTACAAGATTTACTACAATTATTATTACTATCATCAGCCAATGAGGGAACGACCATTGCATTACAAAAAAAGACGCCCCACTAATCCTCCATTATTAAACAGCAATGATGTTAGACTTAATGTTATCAGGGTGACCAAAATAAAAAGAACGATTTCTGTTGTCTTTGGCATGGAAGTGAGAAGACCAAGGATACAGATTTACAATAGAATTTCACCTGCTAAGCTGTTGCTTGTACCACTCAAACAACTAGGAATGAAAGGTCTTAATTCTTTCTTCAATGGCACTGTTGTTAAACTTACTGGAGCACAACTGAAACGAGAAACCGATAAAGAAAGATATGTTTGGTCTGTGCCACAAATCATGGAAAGTAAGCGGCAATTTCCACGATATCTAGTGACTTACTACAGACAGTTAGACAGGGAAGGTAAATGTCTAGTGATGCTGTATATCTCATCACATCTTCAGACCAAACTCAGACCAGTAGAATTGCTTTACAACACCTTCAAATATATCCCTAGAAAGTACTTCTGCTCATCAACACGAAGGATCTTAGTGAGTCCAGTTGCCAACAGAACAGACACGTACATAGCAAAACCAAAGCCAAAATCTGCAGAGAAACCCTCATCATTACCAAAACATATTAAGCCAGATACAACCAACAAGAACAAGATTCTTGTAAGAGTTAATCCTAAACAGACAAATACCAGCAAGGAAAATGATTTCCCAGAGGACAGTGAAGAGCAAGCAGAAGAAGAACAAGAAATAACACCACTAGAAATAGGCCTGTTTGCGATTCTTGGCTTTCTTTGTCTAGCTATTTTGGCATTCACTGTCAATTGCGTCTTGTTTACTATAAAGAAGAAAAAGTCTGCACCAACACAACAAGTTAACACAGCATTTGCAAGAGCAGTTTTAACAAGAGACACAAATGGCACATCTGCAGATGAACATGTCGAAGTTATGTTGGATAACACCATTAAAAATGCAATGACAAAAAATTGTATCCATAAAAATGGTCCATCTACAAATAAATCTGAACAATGTAGACAAAACAACCCTAAAGAAGGTAAAGTTACACTATCTGAAGAAGAAATATGTCTACATTCAAATGCTCATGGTTTGGATTTATCTTTGAATAGAGAAAATGAGACCTCTGATTTCCTTACAGATAATAAAATATCAGATGAAGTTACAGTAGATATATCAGATAATGGCAATAGTGATCAGAGCAACTGCTCTCAAAGAACAAACTCAAAATGCAGTGTTCATGACTCTAGAAATAGTATATCACTATCTATTACAGAGAACTCTTCAGCACTTGGTACAGGGTCAAGTCAAAGAACTTTAAAGGAGTGTAGTGGGGAACTTGAAGTAATTTCTGATGACAACAATGATCATGTAAGATCTGCAAGCTGTAGTAGTGAGAGTGATGCTGGTTCAAAAACCAGTACAAAAAAGCTGTTTGTGCATTTGGATCAAAGTAGTGATAAAGAAACTGCTACATAATAACCAAGACATATTTAATATTTAGACTGCAATAAGCTTGAGATTTGATGAGTGAATGAGTGAGCCTCCCATCTCATCTATGAAATCCTAAATCAATCAAGAGGTATTCGATGTTGTTATTATTCCAAATGACAGAGTGTCTAACAACTATTCCTAAAATATTACGTTTGATGACAATCATAATCAGCTGTTATCCATGAAAGAACACCTGTCTGTGCAGTTGTTAAAATTAGTCACCTCTTATTGGCAAGGTGTAGATATTTTTTATTTACTTAACCATTTTTCAGTGAATCATTATATACTGTTGTTCCCATTGATCAAACTCTATATTCAATATATCTATCAATCTATGAACTAATACATTACATATGTTCTATAGATTCAAACCTTAACCATAATAGTTTTTAGATCATTTTCAAAAAGAGTATATCATATACATAAAACATTGTGGTGTCCTTTGTTATAATATATCAAAGAATATATCTAGAAAAAGGTCACTGCACATAAACCTTTAAAAATGTATTAAAAACATTAATAGATAGAGTTTATAAAATAAGAAAATTCTTATCTCTGAAATTCAGTTTGTTTGTTTGTTTTTTCTTCATCCACTGAAATTCCAATTGCAATTTAGAAGTTGATTTTTGCGGAGGGAGGAAAACTGGAGAATCCAGAAAACCCTTGAAGCACAGGAGAGAACCATGATTTTGTACTTTGGAATGGAAGATCTTTAAACCGGTCCTTGGTTGAAAATAGTTAAAACGCAATAGCCCACTTTTTGAAAAATGCTTTGCTTGTATGCACAAAGGTTTCAGTTTAAGGCTTTATGCATGATGCTTAGTAATTGATAACAAAAAATAATTAATTTATCCTTTAGGACAAGCAACATATCTTGAAAGTGGGCTATTGGAAAAGTAATCTATAGACAGTGTGTGTCCCATTGGATCTATGACTATTAACAGCCATTTCAAACTCTTAAGCTTTATAGGTTGACTTCCAGTGATATTACATGAAGAATGTAGACTGTGAATATGGTGCATGGCATGGTCTACCTCAAGAATATCTGTCCTGGTTAATTAGGTCAATGAAGGTTTACTACTTCTCCTAAATGGCCCCAGAGATACGACACCACGATTTTGTGACACTATCCAGATGTCTTTTGTAATCCTTCATTCTTTATTGGGAAGCAAGGCGGGTGAGATTTGGGGGGAGTCATTAAAACAGGGTCTTCCCTGCTAGCAGAGCCTATTTTCCTTTTGTTTTGGTTGAGAGAAAAATAGACTCTGCCGATGTAGGACGTTATTTCTGTCGCGCATGCGTGGCATAACTTAGCAACGCTGTCATGATTTTGACAGCCGCTCTCGTCAAACAGTGTTTGGCGCCACAGTGTGTTACATTTGCTCATGCGCACTACATTTAGTCGGTTAAAAACCGGTTTTAAAACTGGTTTTGTTCGTCCACAATCGTGGACGGCAGTGTATCAAAGGAAACGCTCTACATCGGCAGAGTCTCCTTCCTCCCCGCCTGAAAGAAGGGAGAGAAAGAGAAGAGAGACTCTGCTAGCAGGGAAAACAGGGTCAAGATAGTACTAAGATGGGGGTTACACAAAAAAGATTTTTAAAGCACTTTATTAATAAACAGAATGAAAAACAACATATTTCTTGCATGGGTCCTGTAAAAGAAACAAACAGTCCCTTGCACTTTGTCATGTAAGAGCTTACATGTAAATAATAACAAGTGTAATGTCATCACAACATTTCCCTTTACCATTATTTCTCTAGGACCATTTTAATTTCATTCTCGATGACCTTAAAATACTAGTTTAATCTAGAAAACGTGCTGTTGTCGCCTCGTAAAACGTATGCATATGGCAGTCAGGAATATGTCTGGAAATATTGGTATTTGGTATTTTACATGTAGAGATTCAACTCAGTTTGACTTAAAGAAAACTGCTAATATTGAGGTTAACAAACGTACAATTTCAACAAGAACGATACAAGGCATCCCGTATAACCTTCTCAACTATTCTATCTCTTAATCTTACCTTATTCATGGTTTTTAACCGCTGTTTTATCGGAGAATAAGAACTATTGACCGACTGACACCCAAGGTTTTTCTTTTCACTTGTTTCCTCCTGATCACGTGGTTCTAAATGGATGTTCATTGGTTATCGCTTTTTCGCGGGAAATATTGATAAACACGCGCTTGAAACGCACAAAAACGTATAAAAATCCCGAAGATCACGCACTTAAAAATAAATAAATAGTAATCATAATGAATAATAAACGATAAAGAATATTTTTACACGGTAGACTTTATCAGTAGGAAGGTGCCTCTTTAAGCTAGCTAGCTCAATGAGCTAACTGGAACTGTGACTAAAATCAAAATATATAAAAAATTGAGAAGGATCCTGGGGGGGGGGGGGGGGTTACTCCCATATATGGACTATACGGGGATAATCCGCTGAACAGGGTATGGTTTTTCGAGCTTCTTGTCATAAACAGGGAATGCAATTTCACTCAAGTTCCAAGTTCTTCCTGAGTTTCCTGTCATATTCAGGGATTCTACTTTCGTATTGACCGAAACTGGTTCATTGTCGTAAAAAAAACGATACGCGAGATGACTCAGTGCAATAAATTATTTAACAGATCAGAAACAGGGTCCACAAATTTGATTTTTTAAAATCATAAACAGGGTACGACCCCTTTCAGAATCCCAGCGGAACACCCCTACCCAAATTCTGGCAAAGTACCCCCTCCCTCCCTTCCCGGGAGAAGGATGTACTTTTGTCGTTATATCTGATGGTGTATATGGGTTGCCTGTGGTTTGCCAGGTACCTCAGCTATCTCGTGACTTCCGCAAGACAACAACATCTATTAGAAATGAAATGTTTTTCCTCTTCGATCTTACGATTTTTTCAGTGAATCTAACTCATACAGGCAAAACTCATGAGCTTGGACGTGTTTCCTCCCTCTAGAATGGAAGAAATCCAAAGTGCAAACGAAAGGACAGCTTTACTGGACAAGGAAAAGTCAAGGATTAATAATGAACTTGGCGGAAGTAAACCCATTGATGGGTTGGAAAGAACAAATAACGCGACTTGGCCGATCTATTTTATTATCTTGACTATTATGCTCGAGAGAGCAGCATATTATGGCATCCTTTCTAACTTGGCGTTGTTCTTGTCTGATGATTTAGAGCTTTCTCAAGTTGTAACTGTAGTTAGTGTGTTCATGTTTACTGGTATGGCATGGCTGATGTGTACTGTGGGTGGTGTAGTGGGTGACTCTTATACTGGCCGATTCAAGGCTATACTTGGCAGCTTCATCATCTATATTATAGGAGCCTTGCTGCTTGAATTAAGTGCCCGTTTTTGTGATAAAGATGCTAAAGTCACGATCTGTAAGAAACTTAGTCAAAAAGGTGCATTCATTCTCTGCACTCTATTTATTATTTCCATCGGTGAAGGTGCTTTCAAGTCTAACATTACAGCTTTTGGCGCTGAACAGATTACCAGACAAGATGACAAGACCTACAGAATGTACTTTAACTGGTTCTACTGGGGTATTAATATCGGTTGCTTCATTGGCTATAGTTTTCTAGCTTTCACTCAACAGTACTGTGGGTTTGTTATTGGTTATTACCCACCTGTAGCATGTCTTGTTCTTGCTTGTATTCTCTTCTTGATTCCTAAATCAAGGTACAATGTCTACCCATTAAGTGCAAATGCCTTTAAGAAAGTCTACAACGTTATCAAAGAGGCTAAATCAAGAGGGAGATCCAATGCTGAAAGGTATGGGATAGTAAATATTATGTACTTATTGACTGAGTGGGAGGGCCGTACAGAAAAATACTGAGCACACCGAGGTCCATACAAATGACAGAGAGCCAAATATCTTCCCCTACGCCCCTACCTAACTCAGTCAATAAGCATTTTATCATATGACCCTCATTAAAAGAAAAATAATATGGTCGTAGGTTTTCGAGCAGGGCTGTAGGGATTCGTACCTCCCTGCTCACTCAAAACCGTACGGCCCTGCTCACGCCATTTTCCCTAAGGTTTTTTTGAGAGGTCACGCCCGGGCAGATACAGGTCATATGATAAACTACAAGACATTTGGCATATGTCTGCTTTATACACTTAATGTCTGGTTTCAATTTTGTTTTCCTGAGAGTCGCAACTGAGGGAAAGCCAGGGGACTTATTTTCACCATTTTATCAAGTGCAACTTGTATCCCAACCAGATACTTGTTTCTTGATCAGGACACATTTCAATTTAGCCAGTATCACATGGTCATCTTTCAACCAATGAGAGTTTTCATTGTATTGGAAAAATCCATAGCTATATACTGTAACAATGAAAGATGTAATCCCTAGGCATGCCAAATCATCTTTCATCAATTGAAATGCTCATTATAAAATAACAGTATATATGTTATAAATATCATGTTGTAATTGGTTGGGAGTGCATGCTTTATGAGAGCACACAGCATGCGCACACATTTTCAGTTACATCATTTCCATCCAAAATAACGGTTATTGTAATTCTGTCATATTTTATTTAAAAAATAATCAGTCATATTATTTACTGCATACAAGAGTTCTAATGATGTTTTTTCTAAATCAGGGTGGGTTGTCCTGGTCTAGAGGAGGTAATGCCAATGCGCAGCTGGTTAGATAGAGCCATGATCAAATATGGAGGAAGTTATTTGGATTCTGAAGTTGAAGAAGTCAAGAAACTTGGAAAAATAGGAATCATGTTTATTATCCTTGTTCCATATTGGATGATATATTTTCAGGTAACTGATGGAGTGTGAAGGTCATATTGGGAAGCATGGGTGGTGTGTGCTGCTAATGCATCACTTGTCACTGTTGTGGTCTGGGGGCCGGGGTTAAATCCCTGGGCCAGCAATGATATAATGATGTTTGACTAGAGTTACTTGTTGGTTCTCTCTTGTGCTTCAAGGGTTTTCCTCTGGGTTCATCAGTTTTCTTCCCTCCAATTCTAACACTCATGAGCCTCTGGTTTGGGATACCAAGCAATAATTGGTCATTTACATGTTTTCTATTCTTGCAGATGAACTCTACTTTCTTACTTCAAGGTCTCCACATGAACCTACACAGCAATGACATATCCAATCAGTCATGTCAAGATAAAGATAAAGCCATTATTCCTGCAGCTAGTCTGTCTTTAGCAGATGTAGTTGTTGTCTTGCTAGCAATCCCACTGATGGATAAGATAGTTTATCCATGGCTTGACAGAAGAGGATGGGGAATAACATTATCTAAGAGGATACTTATTGGTAAGATTGCTTTTGTCTCTCACTGCTGTATGGTTAAACCTTAGCAGTCTGGCTGAACTACACATGTACTGTGAGTTTGTTTCTTTTGACATTGTTTCATCTCTTGCGATGAGGATTTTTTCCAGCTATTCTAGTTTCTCTCTACTACCAGTTGTGTACTCACATCTCACCTCTGGGGTCCTATCAGGTTCAATTCTCAAACTCAGCATGACATGTGATCAGAGTTTGTTAGTTTACGTCTCTCCCCTGATTCGAGGGTTTTCTCTATATTCTCTGATTTTCCTCACCCCCTTTGCAAAACCCAACACCATAATTTGGTCTGCAAGTTTGCAACACTCTTACTTAGATTTGCTCAAAGGTTGGTGGAGGGTTTGATCTGTGAGTTAGGTGTGCCCTAAGATAGATCAACCCAGAGATATTTTCAGGACTAAATAAAATTGATTTTGTCACCAGATGTGGTTTTGAAAATGTGTACTAAATATGGTAACTCTGCCTTGTATGTATTAAACCATGTCTGTCTTCTTATTGTTTGACAGGATTTTTATTCGCCACAGCTTCTATGGTAGCAGCTGGTGTAGTGGAGCACTTTAGAAGGGGTCTTTTAGATAAACAGAAATTGACGCAATGCATAAATATTAATCATAATTATCCAGCAGTTGACATGAGTATTTTCTACCAAGTACCTCAGTATGCTCTTATTGGAGTAAGCGAGGTGTTTGCCAGTGTTGGAAGTAAGTATGTTTACCACAGCATTCATACTACTAGCTAAATGGTAATAAATAAATTAAAAGGAAATTTCAAGGAACGGATAAAAAAGTTTCAGGACCCAGAGATAATACACAAAGTGATTTTACCAGCCTCTATTCCTCCATTCATAGTTATAAGTTAATGCAGCAGAATGGTTTGGAAACTCCATAGAACAAAGTTATTGTTTTGTGTTAGAGGTTGAACCATGCCATCACGTGATACTGACAGTGCACAATGGACCAAAGCAAGTATGGCTGAAAATACTCATTTCCTTATTATTTTCATGTATGAACATTTTGAAAGTGAAAACTTTCATTCGATGACCACAAACTATGCAGATAAATATTTTCGCGCAGATACAGTTAAGTTTGTTTTATGCTATCTCACTTATCATCTAGTAGGCGATTTCCTTTTCAATTAACAATTAAATATTATCATATAGGATTAATTAGCAAATAATAATAACTATTTTGAACGTTTTTGTAGGGAAATATTTCTATATTCCCTAATACTGTGAACAAATTACGGAACAATAATTTGTCCTTGTCTGTGCACGGTTAACATCATATAACGATGGATAAAGTCGAACAAAAACTTAGAACAATAGGTTTCCCAATCATTCCGCTCCATTAACTGTGCTCCATTGCATGCCGTGGTATGTTCATGAAAGATGAATTTGAGAAGAAAAAATTAATTTCAAAAAGTTTTCCCAGGCCCTGGAAAATAAATTGTTTACAGTTTTAGGAGTTTTCCAGGTGTGAGCCATGGAGTAACCAGTTTCTAAAAATATTCTTTTTAACTCGTCATTTGCAGGTCTGGAGTTTGCCTATCAGGAGGCACCCCAATCGATGCATGGTTTTGTCATGGGATTATTATACTTAGTACAGTCTGTAGCAAGTCTTCTTGGTGCAGGGCTATACGCCTTCAGCAGTACTAAAGTTCTAAAGTGGGTAGACAATAAAGGAAATGCACGGTCGGCAAATCTCGGAAAATTGGACAATTACTTTTATCTATTAGCAGCTATTATGTTTGTAACTTGGTTGATATTTGTGGTACTCTCTGTTAAGATTGATTTCAAATATCGAAATGAATCACTGGCCGCTGTCAGAACAAAGAGAAGGTCAAGCAACAAGCGTGGAGACTCTTTAAGTAAGATGTAAACTGTAGTCTTATAATTTATTTTTATGAGCATGTACATGTACCAGCTGCATAGTCCAGTCAGGAATAGAATAGTAGACAGTTAGGGAACGCAAAGCGATTAAGGGCTGCCTCACGAGACGTCAGAACAATACTCGGGTCTTAAAGTAACTGAGGAGAAGGTGCTGCATGCTTTCGTAATAAAAACTATTCAAATGATAAGATCTTCACGTGGCTTGAATGACCACGTAAAATGGCGGTCCCGTCTCTCCACACTTCGTGCTAAAAGTCTATCGTGCAACACAGGCTGCGGGCAAAATCTAAAATAGAACGCAGTACATCGATGAAAAAGGTGACAAAATTTTAATAAAACAACGTAGAAAATTTGTCTAAATTAAAAAAGGTCACTTAAGGATAGTTTAGAGTCTTTTCCTTTACTTTTGAAAGGCGTTACACCATTCAGCGTACTGTTCGAGTCCCGGTCATTCTTCAGCTCAGAGATATAATCGTGTTGTCCAGTATCACTCTGAGAATCATGGATTTTCATCAAGTGTTGGTGAGCTTTTGTGTAGGTCTGAAGAACACGAGCGTGGAACTGCATTTCCAAAGTAACAAACTCTCGTAGTATCCGCCCACAGTCATTCAGCTTTTGCTTCTCAAAATCTTCCATTTGTTGGTGTAATAAGTTCCTGGCATTTCTCGTCATGATTTCAGCTTTTTCCAGTCGTACCTTTGTCTCTATTATCTTTCTTGTGTTTGTGGGGTATTTCCCTTGTAATCGTAGCAGATCGGCTTTTTCGTTGTGTTCTTTGACTAGCAAATGGTTGTAGTCTCTCACTTCTTTCTTCGTTTCGCTACGTTTTGTCTCATAAACTCGAAAATCGCTTGCAATACGTTCGCGCAGTTCGCTAGCTAACTCTTCTCGATCCCTCTGTACAGACGTTAAGCAATTTGTAAACTTTGTAGCTTGTATCACAATGTTTTGTTGCTCCAAATCCTCGAAACTAGTCAATATAGTATTAGCCAAGTTGTTACCTTTTCTTCCCATTTTTTCAGTAGTTTTAGCGTATTTCTCGAAGAACTTGGCAACCTCCTCATAATGGTTTTCAACCAATTCCAATTGATTTTTGTACCTTACAACTTCTTCATCCTGGAGAGAATGGCTTAAACTTAAACGTCTTAGCATTTTGACATTCGGGTTCTGCGACTTTAATGATGTTCTTACCTCGAGAAATGAACTGAAATAATTTTGAAAAATGCGGCGCGCGCACTTTATGATAACTGTTACGTCATCCAACAACACAGTGACGAATTCCACCCGTCCATGATAACAAATTTACGAAGTTCTCAAAATATTCCTTGGTGAATTTACCGCGATAGCGAAACCGCTTCTGGAACCCATGGTGAATAGACCTTTTAAGCTTGGGCGTATTGCTTTCCTATTTCAGACCACGTTTCATTCACTACAGTATTATTTCTTTGTTTAACGGTTGCGCATGAGATGACGCATGAATCACAGGCTAACCACTCTAATAAATGAAGGAAATACTAAATGGTGTCTTGTCTTTGTCTTTTTATTCGCGCGCGCTATCCATTTTTTGTCATCTCACCTACCCCCCTTGGTAACAATTTTGTATACGCTAGTATATTGTATAGTAGAAAAACAAAATTGTTACCAAGGGGGGTAGGTGAGATGACAAAAAATGGATAGCGCGCGTGCATAAAAAGACAAAGACAAGACACCATTTAGTATTTCCTTCATTTATTAGAGTGGTTAGCCTGTGCATGAATATGGGGAATCTTATTCTCAAGAGAACAAGAAAATGGGAAAACATTACGCCAAAGCTGAAAAGGTCTATTTGCAAAAGTTCTAAATTCATAAGATTTAAGGCTTAATCCCTCAATCGTCTCCGGAGGTGGATCTAGATTACCAAGTTAATGGATAAAAAAAACTGACTAATAAATATATCGAAACTGATTAAAGCGCGAATAAAACTTACGAACACCACCGAATCTGACAAAGAGACCATGAATGGTCTCTTGGTGCGACCCATCCCTAGGATTGGGCGCGCACCATAGTAAACAGCGTCCTCACCATTACAGACCCTCAGTACTGATGTGGCGCACCCATGTAATACACACCTGGTACCCAAATATAAGTATTTTATTGCCCTAATAAATTCATTTACATTAATAGATTATCAACTCTGTACATATAATAATGTGTTTGGATCAATCAGTAATATTTTTTGGCTCTCCACGGGTCATCATCATACAGGGCTTCATCTCCGTATACTAACCGATCGAAACACATGCGAGGAAGAGTGGTAACTACCCTAGGAGTGGGACAAATCATTGTGGGCTGCACCAATCGAATGTCTTTTCTATTTGCCTTGACTCTGGCCTCCGCTGCCATCACAAACATGTCTCTATTGAAGGTAAATATCGAGATCTTTTGAAGATATTTACAGCGTAACATCAGTCGAATGAATGCGTTAGTTTTCTTGTCGGACTCCTTATCCATGTAATCACTTAACTCGAGTATTTCAAGCTTGGGGTTAAACTTAGCAAGACTGTTCAGCACTCGTTCAATTTCCATCCCACGATCAAGATAGTCCTGGCGGTAGTTGACGATTCCGAACCGTTTTAAATTTGGTAGGTTCTTAAGGCAAATCTTTAGTCCTGAAGCCGTTGCAAATCCTTTGTTGACTCTCAAAACCTCCAAAGTACTGCTACAACGTTGTGTAATGGTAACCAAATCTTCATCTGCGCCATGTTGTCCTTCGATAACATCTAGATCTAATACTTCCAATGAAGCATACTGTGTTAATGTTCTAACTACTTGACTGTCAATGCCTGGGCCAAAACTACATCCATTGATGTTAATATAAACCATGTCTTTGAGCCGTGATGTGACTGAATACACACCAGAGCTGCTTATACCAGGACAATGCGACATGTCTAACTCTTCAAGACAACTGTTTTCTAATGCGCAAGCTTCGATGACGCGGTTAGTCACGTGAGTGTATGATATTGATAAGGATTTGAGGGATAAGCAATGAAGAAAAAGACTGGGTAACGAGGTGCCCTCGATGTTATAACATCTCATCAGTGACAGAGACTGAAGATTTGGACATGAGAAAGCAATAGTAGCTATATCCTCATCCTCTATGTCCATACAGCGAGAACAATCCAGTACTTTGAGGTGCGTTGCATCGTTAAAGACATAAGGATCAAAGAACCCATCCATGGTGTTATCAATAGCAACCATCTCGATATTCTGTGCAGAAGCTACTATCTGCAACACATGCCCTACGTATCCTTGAAGTTCTCTCGCGTCTAGAACAAGAAGCTCAGGAAAAACAGCCTTTGGAAGCTGTTTTTTAGGTTCTTTAATAGTGTTTCTCCTCAAATAAAGTTCTTGAAGCTGCGGGCAGAATTCAGCAAGGGTGACCAGATTGTCAGGGCTGACACCGCATTTCCAAAAAAAAAGTTTTTTAAGTTGCCTTCCAATTGGATTTCCTAATAAGTTGTCTATATCATATGATTTCAATCTGTTTAAACTGACTTGACGCCATAATGATCCATCATAGACAAGTCGTTTCCATCGTTTGCAGACCAGAGCTAACGAGCATAGCTGTGTCTGCGAGAAGTATGAGAATACTTGAAGGACGATGCTGTCTGGAAGACAATCCATGTCTGGTGAAGAAACCTTGACTTTCTTGGAACAATAAGTTTTTCTCGCCTTTCGTTTCCGTTTCATTTTGTTATTGAGGGATTTAGTCTTATTAATCCTTTATTACGTCACACCTCGCGCTCCATAACGTCATAAATACAGCGCGCGCGAGGTTTGGGCACTAGCATATTACACTTTAATGGCGTCATCGTCAAAGATTTTGATTTGATCCCAGTCTCTCTGGGTTAAATGACGGTCACTCATCACATTATCATTTCATAAGACACGACAAAAACAGTCATCACAGCTTTTTATTTGTTCAAATCGTTAATGTGTTCAAGTCTTGCCGATTAAAACCTTTTTACCAATCATATCTTAGCTTAAATAAACACTCTACTAGCTGCTATAGTCTTTGAAGTCTTCTTTTTAACTAGTGGGTTTCCTGGGTTAAAACAGACTTAAAGAAGACTAAGGTCGTTCCAAGATCATACGTTCATAAGGATGAAAGGGTACTGCGGCTGAGAGTAGCATTCAATACTGGTTTGGGCTTCCTGTGGAACAATACCAAAGGAGGCCCAACATTCCGGGTCTTTTCTATCATTCATCTCGGTAAACCGACGGCAAACCGACGGCAATCGATTTATTTCGACGAAAGTAGGAATCATATCAACATTATTTACCACTGATATTGTTCTGGGCAAAACTGTTTTACACGAAAATTCATCAGAAAAACTAACAGAACTTTGTAGTGATGTAAAAACGATTGATTTATGATGAATATGACTGATACATACAAGAGTAGGTTGGTTAAGGATTATTTAAGAGGTTTCTTGTACTGTTTCTAGCTTTCTTGGTCCATACAGAAGTACATACGCACAATGCCAATCACCTGAAGACAACAACAACAAAGATCTTACATTATTATGGGAAAACCAAAACAGACAAACATTATTCCCTAAGTTAGTTAAGAGGTGTGTTGTTATTACCTCCACCAGAGAGTTTTAAGATATCCTCTGAGTGCACTCTTGATATGTTATCATCATCACATTTATACCACTCATCTGTAAAGTAACAAAGAACTATTATATTCAAGCCTGCCTGAAATCCCCTGCAGGGTTCTCCACCAGAATTTGGGTAGAGGTGTTCCGCTGGGATTCTGAAAGGGGTACCCTGTTTATGATAAAAGAACTCAAATTTGTGGACCCTGTTTATTATAAAAGATATAATTCATTGCACTGAGTTCCTGTTTCAATTATCATGTCATCTCTCATATCGTTTTTTTACGACCATAATAACCAGTTTCGGTCCATACGAAAGTAGAATCCCTGAACATGACAGGAAACTCAGGAAGAACTTGGAACTTTAGTGAAATGGCATACCCTGTTTATGATAAGAAGCTCGAAAAACCATACCCTATTCAGCGGATCATCCCCTTATAGTCCATATATGGGAGTACACCCCCCCCCCCCCCGGGCTGAAATCCCTTCAAATTACGAAAGGAGGTTGTATGAGAAGTAGGGCTTTACATCTTGATAGAAGCATACAGCTGACTTGAGCCCCACACCCACCATGGAGTGTAAAGGTAATGGGAATGTACACCCACTGTGTTTACATACCATCATTCTTCTTTATCCATGCCAGGTAATGACCTGACGAAGATGATCTTCCTTGATGCGTGAGAACAGCAATCAAGTCATAATATCCACTGTTATTAGAACCAATATCTAATGACAAAATATGTGGAAAGCTGAGTAACATGGATATGTGATAGACATAGAATATCAGAAGGATATTTGTTAACTACTCACCATCAGGAAAAGAATAAGGTTCTATTGTTGTTGTTGTCTTTTTCTTGTCCACTTCCATGGCTTCTACTTTCTCATCTGTTTTCCCACCATTAGATTTTTCTTTTAAATTCTAAAATAATATATTGATAATTAATTTTAAAAAATGCATGTAATCCAGAAACTAATGAGACTTTTAGTGACCACTTTGCAAGGATAAGAAAAATAGCCAGTCATTGGACAATTTCTGGCTAGAATTGGAACTTGTCCAGTTAAATCTTTGCCCTGCTATTCATTTTGACCAGTAACATTTCTAAGCCAGAAATGTATAACCAAGCTAAAACTGATTTGGCCACTCAACATAATTGATGACTGACCATCCATTATTTTTATAATTCTGCTTTGCGGCTTTCACATCCAGCTGTCAATCACAAGGCTGTACGTGTACATACCCTCACTTCTTCCAATTTCCTATCCTCCATTTCTTTGAATTTACTCCTAATAGGTGTGAGTTTTTGCTGTAGTTCTTCTGTACACATGTCATACACATCCAACATAAGTGGAAACTTTACATCCTGTCAAACATCATACTATTAGCTGCCAGTTTTTTATGTTGAGCAACAATGTCAAATGCTGCCAAACTGGGAAAAGTAGAAAAAATACTGAAGAATATGAAATTCAGATTCCTCAATTGAAAGATGTGGCATACAGAATACTTTCTGAAACCATACAATGTACCTTCCTTATTCCCTTCCCACCCTTGAAAATTCCAATCCCCCTCGACAGGGGAGGTATTGATATTTTCTGGTACTTTACAATATTCCCTCCTCAGACCCTCCCCACCCCTTGGAAATTTCAATCCCCCTCCATGGGGGAGGTATGGATATTTTCTGATACTTTACAATATTCCCTCCTCAGACCCTCCCCACCCCTTGGAGATTTCGATCCCCCCACAGGGGAAGCATTGATATTTTCTGGTTCTTTACGATATTCTCTCCTCAGACCCTCCCCACCCCTTGGAAATTCCAATCCCCCTCCATGGTGGAGGCATAGATATTTTCTGGTACTTTGCAATATTCCCTCCTCAGACCTTCCCCAATCTTCCTCCATGGGGCATATATTATTATATATATATATAATATTATTACAGTAGTACCTTAAGAATCTTAGCGTTAACAGCCTCCTTTTCCTTGAAGTAAAACCTTACAAGTTGTATTGGCAGATACGCAGGCAGACGGCTAAGCTTTGACTAAGTCATGAAAATAAAGACAATGAGATGTCACCAACTGAAAGTGTGTGAGGAAGATGATCAGGTGGTGGGTGGTGTTTGCTGCTAATGCTGCACCTCTAACTACTTCAGTCAACGGTTGAATCGTTAGTGTGTACTCACTGTTTTAACATATTCTGCATCTCTGTTCAGTGTGGGTGAGTTCTTGGTGATACTTTCCTTTAAGCGCTAAATAAAACACAATATTAAGTTTATTTATTTATTTTCGTCTGTGATTAAAATACAGGCAGGAACAGCACAACAGTGAAACAAGTTCCTGTGGGCACAAATAATACCAGTTTAATATATTCTGTACTTTAAAACTGTTAATAACATTATCTTACACTTTGTAATCCAGTGTGGATGTACTTCACCTCTGAAATCAGGAACAAAGCATTATTTTATTGTCGTTGTTGTTGTTGATGATGATGATAATGACAGTGATTAGTGGCAAGTACAGGATTAAAAATAATGCCCTCTAGGGTCAATGGAAAATGTCAAGTCAAATGACACTTAGGCTGGTCCTTTTGACCAGTCACATTAACTGGTCACATTAACTGGTCACATTAACTGGTCACATTAACTGGTCACATTAACTGGTCACATTAACTGGTCACATTAACTGGTCA